AACAGTGTCCTAAAGCAAAACTTATCAATAAAAAGGTAATGGTAACTGTTTGGTGGTCTCAGCATGGTGTTATTCACTATAGTTTTCTCCAATCTGGTCAAGCAATAACAGCAGATGTCTATTGTGCCGAACTCCGAACAATGTTGGCAAAACTAGCTGTAAAACAGCCCCGACTCATGAATCAATCTTCACCATTATTGCTCCAAGTCAACGCGAGACCTCATACAGCACAACAAACCGTTTTGACCCTTCCGGAACTGCAGTTTCAAACCATTCGTCATCCTCCATATTCGCCAGACCTTGCTCCAACGGATTACTATTTTTTTTTCGTGATTTGGACAATTATCTACGTGACAAGAAGTTTTCTTCTCAGGAGGTAGTCCAAAATGCTTTCACACAGTTTGTGCAGTCTAGATCCTCAGAGTTCTATCGCAAACGTATAAATGACCTTCCTATTAGATGGCAGCAATGTTTAGATAATAATGGTAACTATTTTGATTAAATAAAATTGTTAAAAAATAAAAATTAAACAATTTTGATTTTCAGTACCATTCGGCAATTTCACACTTTAACCCCTATTATTAGTAGATTTTATTTACTTTTCCGACTAGTCAGATCGCCATGTCGTCTTTAACTATCTATATAACTCAAAGGTGACTGACTGACATAGTGATCTATCAACGCACAGCCCAAACCACTGGACGGATCGGGCTGAAATTTGGCATGGAGGTAGATGTTATGTCGTAGGCATCCGCTAAGAAAGGATTTTTGATCAATTCTACCCCCAAGGGGACAACATAGGGATGAAACTTTAATTCAGGTATTTTATACGATATCATGAATAAATATTCGTTAGAAATGCCACGCGGATGAAGTCGCGGGCAAAAGCAAGTCTTCTTTAAATGTCATTGCTTATGTAATTAAACTTTAACTACTGAACTTAATGTGCAGTAAATGATTTGTTTTCATTATATATTTTTTGCGCATCTAATTTTGCTTCACATTAAGGTGCAAACTTACCATGCGAGTGGGTCTACTTCTATAGGTACATAGTAAATCAGGTTATACAAATCTGCATAATAAATTGATTGCAACCCAAAAGGCGAGGTTGAACGAAATAACCACTATTTAAAGTTATTTTTCTAAGGCTATGCTAATAAATGCCAAATAAAAAAGATATAATGAAAATTAAACATGATCGATTGCTTGCTATAAACAGAAACATAAATTTCAGTAATTGGCTTCATAGAAAAAAAAATTGACTCCTGTCAAATATGTGTTTGAATCGATTTGACGACTTCTTTATTTGAAAAGTATATACAATATTATTTTCAATTTTTCTATAACTGCATTTGTTTCTTTTTCTGTGATTAAAATATATGAAGTCAACCGAGCGCCTTAAAAATTTAGCTTTAAAATCGATCGCGGAAATGTTGTATATTTTGATTAAAGGCTGCACGTCAGAAGTGCAATCGTCTAACTCTTTGGCCATGATTGTAGCCGTACATTACGACATCTTATCGATATTTTGGCGATACTTCGTTTATTTTGACGCTGAATGAATGATAAAGAATCATAATTATTGATTTAACTGCTTTACCAAATTAATAATTTATGTACACCAAAAGAAATGTAGAGATGTAAGATTAAACGAAATTTCGACTCAACATCGATAAGATATCGTATCTTATGGCTAGAGTCATGGCTAAAATATTAGGCGGTCACAGCCCAGGTTCCCACAATATACCAAATTTCTCCAGTTGATTTGAAACTCTTCTCTCAAAGCATTAACTTTTAAATTCAAGTGGAGAAATTTTACAGACCTGTATAACTTGACGTGCTGTTGACTGTACATTACTTACCTACTTACCTCTAACATGATGTGCGTAGGTATTGATGTTGTATAAACTTATTCTTAATATCTTAATTAATTTATTCTCCATTTATGCTAAATTTGGATACAGATTAAAGTTCAATTTTGTTTTAACATTATTTTTTTGCTGATTTGATTTATTAATTTGCCTGTAATTTACAAGTTTTTGCGTAATAATTTTTACCTAATATTGATTTTTAATCGACCTTGCTATTGAAGTTCAAATAAAAAAAGACAATATTTTATAAGTAAATGATTTTGAACTTATTTATCTATACATGAATGTGTAAAATCAATTGACAGATAAGTATGAATTCTGAGGACTGAACCATTACTGTAAAAAACAAACATATTGTAAAAATGTATATTTTAAAAGATTTTATGTCATGCCGCCATTTGAAAGTTTGAAAAAATAATAGATGAACTGCCATAAAATGGTAGATTTAAAAAAAAATTGGTAGAGAATGGAGTAGTTCGCATACTAGAATAAAACTGATGACCAAAAATCGAGTTTATTACTATATATTATAAAACAAAGTCCCCCGCTGCTTCTGTCTTTCTGTCTGTCTCTTCGCGATAAACTCGAAAAGTACTGGACGGTTTTTCATGCGGTTTTCAACAATAGAGCAATTCTTGAGGAAGGTTTTAGTGTAAACGATGTTACAACATATATTAGTTCAATATGTCGGAAAAAATAAAGCCGATCAGAAGCTTTCCTCGAAAACACATCCAAAAACTTTTGAGTTATAACAAAACACTGTATGGTGGAATTGTACCTCTTTAATAGATCTACAAAAAAGTCCGCGATTGTATGTCTATATTTTTTACGCATATATTAAAACAGTAAAATGATGGGTTATTTACGAACTTATTTTTACAATACAGTATTGATCCTTATTCAAATTAATAAGTTAGACGTTATGCATGTAATGTAGATTTTACATTTTTACTTTTACACTATATCAAAAAAATAATAACTAATGAGTTATTGAAAAATAAAAATCTCCGGGCGAGCTATTAAATATCGATGAATGAAAATGAATCGCCGAAACATATGTTCTTACGCGCATAACTTCAGAATTCCAGTTCCGATTGCACCAAATTGAATGATTCTATTTTTTATATGTCCCACGATTCATGACGCGCTTTGTATATAAGATTTAAAAAAAAAATGGTTTAAAGCGGTACGAAGTTCGCCGTGTCAGCTAGTATTAATATAAATACATTTGAATTAGATATATCTTGGCAGGTGGATATTAGTTTATTTTATTATTATTACTTTAGCATTGTGATTGTAAATACAAAATTTATCAAATATAATACTTATGCTTCTGTTAAGGGAAGACCGTGTTAAGACTGATTTTTATAAATTATATTGAGTTTCCTTTTATGACTATAATTAATACCAAAGTAAGTTACTGAAAAATCACACAAATATTTAGCATAGGTAAGTGGTAAAAACATGTTAAATATTTTTTATATTTTCAATGACGGAAGTTGATGAAGGTGCTATAAAATACTAAGTATACTACTATTCATTATTGACCCATTTAGGTTGTAATCTGAAATATGTAATTTGAGAAATATTTAGCCTTTATTGGCCAAATTGACGTACGTTATACTCGTATGAAACATTTTAAATTTTAATTTTTCGTTTTTACAAAATGAACTTTCGGAAAACCATCAAGTATAATATTGGTGTAACAAGATCGATTTTTTGGGGAAACTACTACTTATTACATTTCGATATAATTAGAAGATTAATCAAGAGCAACCACAACTATTTAAATTTCGCCTATTCACTGAGTTGATATTTCATCGATAGTCTAATTATATCTGAAAGATTAATATATGTAATGAAACTAAGTAGATATTTATTTTATGCGAACAGCGTAAATATCTACTTTAAAAATTCTTTATAGTTCGCGGAAAGTATTCATGGAGTGAAAAATTATCAGTGGGTACTTTTCTTTTATAAAAACTGCTCAAAAACTCAACCACGAGCGCAACACTGTCATAGCATAAAATTTCAATCCACTAAAGGGAAAAAATCGAAAGGGAATAAAGTTTTTATTCTATTAAAGCTCTGTGCTGTCACATCGCTGTGTTCGACGACGAGTTCTAAGTCGTTTTAAACATAATAAGAGGAGAATAATCAAATTACTTTTAGTACTTTTTTTTTTCAATTTTTCGGAGGGTTAAAAACGAAGTTAGTAATAAAAGCGCTTAAAATTCCCAAATCAAATTAGTCCGATTGTATTTGAATGTAAAAATGCACAATATTTATTGGAAGTCATTATTTTTGTAGGTTGTATTGTTATATGGTAGGTATTTTTTCTGGTGTCATCAAGTGTGGTCAACAGCAGTAATACGGAATGGACCAATAGTTAGATGGAGTGTAGAGAGGCTGAGTGTGCCCGAATATCGAGGCCACACCACGGGATGTTGGAGGCTGCAGAGCGACCTATTTACTTGATACTTGTTTCTTTTTGTAGAATTATATTGTAACAAATAGTATTATCTGTATGATTAATAAATTTAAAACGAATTAACAAATATTGTTTATGATTTATGACATAGCTTAATTTTGTATTTTAAAACTTTATCATTAATATTGAATTAATCTTATTTGTCAAAAAATGATTGACGATTTTTATAAAGATTTTGTTGGGATATCATTTTATATAACACCTTTTTTATGTTTGTATACTCAAAAATATGAGAGTAAAATGAATTTGAATAAAATAACACCTAACGCAGATAAGTCACATAAATTATTGCAATATTTATACTTTTATTGGTTTGAGTTAATTTTATTCCATTTTATTTCCTAGACTACCTAAGTTTTGTTTCGATAGAGCTCATGATAATTTGTATAAGTTGTACGAACAATTTATAATCTCCTAACTTATTGTTACTATACATAATTTAAATTAAAAAATGCATAAAATAAAATTAATTTGTGTAAGGAATATGTTATTTTGATTATTGACAGAATATTTGATCATCTATTATTGTTATTTTTCTTTTAAACTATCAAGATTATAATTCCATCTTACGACGAGGTAAAGGTGAACCGTGCGCGGGCGCAGTGACGTGTCTCTTCTCACTTCTCTTCCTTTACTTTAGTTTACCGCGGACCTCGAAACGACGCGGACGAATGTCGCGCTCGTTGATCTATTTAAAGATTAACATAAACTTGATAATTGGTGAAATTGATATTGAACATAGAGTGTAACAAATATAAAGGAATAAGATTTGTCGGTTTTGGTTTAAAACAAACAAACTTTTCATTACAAAAAGGAAAAGTTAACGGTACGCAAGGACAGTGTTTGAAAGTTTAGTTCGCAGGTTTGAAAAGTGATATTCTTTTTCGATATATAAATTCGTTCAACTACGTGGATTTTTGCGTGTCAAAACGTTATAGAAGGTGAGTTAACGTTTTTACTAATTGATTACCATTAGAAGTCGTTTTAGTTTAATATTTTAGTATCACTCGCACGAAATCGTGAACTGGCCTGCCGTAACGCTAGGATTGCGGTGATTCGCAAAAAATATGCGGAAATTTTAAGCTCAGTGAAGAAATGTAGTTTAATTAAGTGTAAATAAGAAACTATTTTATAATTAAATACTTTTTGGTCGTTAATAGTGGAATATTAATTGTGTAAGGTAACATTATTTAGCTTAGATGTTTTATATTAACTATTTACGGTTATATGTTTAATATTATAACAAATTTTACTTTGGCATTCTGCACCTAAATGCCTTTGATATGTGGTTAGGACTTCGTGAAAAAACTTAGTTTAATCCATCTCAAGAAATACAAATAATTAAATGACAATTGCGTCTTCCATATCACGGGAAGAGAGTTCACTAAAACTTATAAAGAAAAATTATTACTCGAGAGTGCATCGTACCCTCGCTCCTTAACAAACATCAAAATGACGTAATGTCATTTATACCTACTGGACACTATCATCACATCAATTTGTATTTTTTGCTTTCATTACAAGGTTTGAATTTCATATTTAAATTAAACTGAATAAGCCTATTTACCTATTATAAGATAAAATACAAACAGAAAGGAAAATAGAATACTAAACAAGATAATTTGTATACGTTGTAATGGTATGGATATGTCTGCCATTTAAATATAAACAGCAATAAAGATAGTATCGATACTTCTCTTTCAGTATTGAAGAAACACAACCATTCGTTATTTCAGTTTTGGACAGCCTAGTTACTATAAAAAACGTTTCACGTCGAACTGAAATAGCTTCAAAATTGAAATCATTGATAAAATGTCTTTTGAAGTGAAGTAAATATTCGAATACGAAGCTCTTGTTTGTGGGAGGTCAAACACCGCTTACGAATTGTCCCTTAAAAGCTCGGCTTGGAATGTTATTTGTATGTCTTCATCCATCAAGGCCGCGGAACATAAGTTTGTGTGTCTACTTATAAGCATTGGATTTCATATGTTGTCTTATACAGTCGGTTAGTGTTATACAAAACATTAAAAAATCTATTTTTTTATGAAAATACTCAAAAATCCCCTTTCCAGGGATAAAGGGGATTTTTTAATATATTAAAATTACTGATATCATAAGAGTAAGGTCAGTTGTCGTTTAGATGAGTTTTATTATTACGCCCGTTAGTGCACAACGTTAAGTGGTAAAACGATATAAGCCAAATGAGTAATAAAAATTGAATTAGCGATATAAATACGACATTTCTAAAAACAGTTTTTCTTCATAAATATCTTCAATTAAGTTATTAAGCCATATGTAATAATTTACGTAGTGATATTTTTTGCTGTATATTTTAACAAGCAAGATGCGATGCGACCGATAACGCGTCGTACGTTACACAGGTGTCCACTATATCAGTTCATATGACATGTTACTTTCACATAACAGTCACCTGTCCATACTCGAATGACAACTAAAATATGTCATAGGTATAACTTTTTCGTCTTGTTTCATATTTCATTCACGTCTACTCTTCCGCTAAGTAACTGTGATATCCATGTGTGCTTCTAATCAATAGGTTGTCTAAGCTAAGTGATTTTTAAATATCCACAAGATATTTGATATATTAGCAAATTAATGCTTTCATGAATTCGTTTTATGAATTGCATTGACAATACTCACATCGACTCTTTTTAAATTACTCTCTTTTATAGTATTGAAATTAGTGTTACTTTATGTAAAAAGGAACACAATGTTGAAGCGGCAATTCGCAGCGTCTTTACCCTGCGCCTTTAGTTGCCATCTTCAAAGATAAAAAAGCTCAACTGTATTAGGTCGAACATTTTGAACTAAAAATCAGAATTTATGTTCTTTAACAGCCGAACACAACTTTTATAGAGCCAGATGTAAATTTAAAATTTAGGTATAACAACTTTTTTAGTTTTGGCTTCTAGTATAGGTACAAGGAATGATATTAAATAAAAAAAATACACTCAAAGCCGTTAGATGTCGCTTGAAAATAATATAGGCAATTTTTCGAAAATGTTATTGTATAGATGTTTATTTTATTATTTAATTTTTAATGCTCACTACAATTAAATAATAAACAAACACCTCAATGTTTGTGATGTTTTGGGAGCGAACAAAACATGCGCCTTGTTCTTGTGTTTGTTTGTTTTGAAGATACATACTTGCGATGGTTTCAATATCAAAGCTGTCCACATTGGATACATTTGAATTTTTGATCTATAATACGAAATATTTATGTAATTATTCAATATTTTACATATTGTAATGAACATTTTACATATTGTTTTGAAACATTTTTGTATATAAAAGACATCAACGCTTCACTTATTTGCTTTGAGTATGTTGTCATAGTATGGATGTGCTTTCCTACACTAATATTATAAAGAGGGAAGATTTGATTGTTTACTACTTATTTACTTGCCGGAAAAGTTTCATAAATTGTCATTTGAGAAAAATAATGTGAATTAAAACCATTTTTATTTTATAATTCTTAGTTCCGAAAGACTGAATCGATTTGAAAAAATGTTTTACCATTCGAATCCTACATTAATACTGATGAACTTAGGCAATAGAACATTTTCACAAACATTAGGTATCCTTATGAAGACATCGACGCCCGAAGCTGATCACTAGTGTCAAAGAAATCGAAACAAGGAAGTCCACAACTCTCAGAAACGCGCTAATATAAAATAAATAAATTTCTACATTGACTAGTTTGAGAGTCAAACCGGAGACCACAGAAAGTTTTATAATCGAAATAAGTTAAAATAGAAACATTTCTTTTTTGTTTGTATTTTATTTTCTATGCCAAGCATCAAGGACTTATAAGTTACATATAAATAATTAATGGTGTCTTAAATGCAATTAATGTTAGCGAGATAATAACAATTGAATGTTATTATAAAGTCGCAACTAGAAGAATGTGAGGCCCGTGACTTTGATGTCTTTGTGTGGGCAAAACAACTTTCATTAATAGCTGCACCTACCGTATAGTTACGTCATGGCTATTGATAAACCTCATTTGGTATACAACAAGACCCATGTAATCATCTATTCAGTGTCATTGAAAAAATCTTTGAAGTAACAGTCATAGAAATAATAAATAAATATTATACAACATGCTCCCAAATTAAACAGCTAAAGCACTTGAAATATTGATAATCTGAAACAACAAAGGTACCACAGCATCCAGACTCGAGGACTTTTTCTATATTCACCCAACTTGGTATCGGAGCCGCGGCTTGAGTCCAGATTACGAACCACTCTGTGTGTAGATGTTACACAGATAAAAGGATCGTTATGGTTTCGTCGAGCACAGCAAATTCGGCAGCATTTTTTAAGTTCAGAATAACCAATATTAAGAATTGTATTATATAATAAATTCATATCAATATTACTTAAAGTATTTGAATTGAAATTTTGGTATTTTAAGGAAGCCCATAAGCAAACCGAACGCAACATAGGTATAAATGCTTCATTTTTTTATCGGAATTATTATTATACTAATTGTTTGTGCTTTTAGCATTCATAACTTGTTCTATCATTTAATTAGTAAAAAAGATAATTTGAACTTTGTTTTTAATAATGATATAATGAGTTGCTTCATTAGTCTTCAACTACTATAATAAGACAACTAACAGTGACCGTGCGAAAGAAAGTACGAAAGTAATGTGTAGGCGAAAGAAACCTGCGTTTACCTGCGCGAGCGCTTTCAAACCCGCCAAAATATTACTGCTGATATAATCTTTGTTTATTATGCATAATGTTTTCTTTAATGACACTCTTAATCTTATGCGGCTGTTTTCTTTTGCATATCTTTTAAGTAAACTTCAATTTATACTATTGTTTTTAATGAGGTGAAAATCGAAATCGAGTAGTCTACCCACATATATTAAATAAGATTCATCTTCGCACTCATGCAATTAATATTTAGTAAGATTTTTATTTGTTTTTTATTTTATTTCAAGTATTACGATAAAAAGTAGTAAAAAAAACTAAAATACGTTATGAGTTTTTAAATAATTTTTTGTAATATTCTTTGAGTCATAAAATATATAACAACCCAGATTTGGGATAATAAAGTTTTTTTAAACGAAGATCTAAAACTGGCCTTCAATGGCGACATTTTGAAACCGGCGTACATACATACGAGTGAGTAGGTAGTCAGGCAGGTTATAAGGTTTTTGTTTGTTGATTTACAATTCAATAGCGCCTACTAAATATTTGTATAATCCAGTCGTTCCAGTTTCTTCTATGAATGGACAAAGAATATTATTTGACATGAGACATCATCATCAGCCTATATGTTGCTTTGCTAGGGCCCTGTTGTTAGAATTAAATCGAATAGACTCACCATGTGGGTCTAGTATGGATTGATTGGTGTTAACAAATACACATGCAGACACTACCAACTTGCCGTGCCTGCCGAAATCCACCGGTACTCGAAATTATTAATTTTTGGCCACCCATACTATTACCGACCATTGAGAAAGTTTCTTAACTTTCGCATCGCAGACTGAACGCACTGACCACTGCACCATGAGACACGAGACAACGCATAATTTATTACGACCACCCAACACCCACGAAAGGGTAAGGTGCGCAAAAACTCGAATACCACAATGCCAAACTAAATTAATCTTTATCGCATTTAAATAAAGACCAATGGCATTAACTATGCGTGGCACCATCAGTTACACTTGTTTTTTCTGTATAATCGCATTAAAAACTTTCATAATACATTTAAAACGATGCCTATAATATTTATTGTTGGACGAAATTATGCCTTGAATCATAAGGGAAACATTCAATTTTGCTTACACGTGAGATTAACTATTTTTCCATTATGTTCAACTGGTTCAGAATCTATAAGGAGCATTGTACTATCACGTTTGTAATGCATAATGTCTGAATGGAGGTTGGTATCTTTCGA